CTTTGGGCATGTTGCAAGGAGGGACTGGTCCTTGGAGAGGGATCATGTTTGGAGAGAGTTGAGGGGCGGTGAAGGAGAGGAAGACCCTCGATGAGATGGATCAATTCTGTGAGTGGAGTGGTGGGAATGGGTGTGTTTGAGACAGCGAGATTGTCACAGGATAGAATGGCGTTTAGGGCTCTAGTACACAGGATCGCTATGAGTCGCAAGTGACTCGATGGCACATAACAACAACATATTAAATTTTGCAGGAGTATCTTAAAGAAAGACTTAGAAATTTAAAATTGGTTCAACAACCCAAGAGAAAAATATTGTCAAGTTAATAATGTTAATAATTTCAGATATTGGACTTTTAATAACACTACTTGTCAATCTGAAATAATATTAAATTATCTTTTCTCAAATCTCTTATCAATGGTAATTCACCTTGGTTTTGATGTTCTGTTGGTTCTTGTAAGTGAAGTTTTCCGCAGGATTCATACTTATTCCACTGTTCCTTTATAGGTGATTTAAGCATGTTTGGATATTGTAACCTTTAGAATCACAAAAAAAGGTTAAGGAAGTATGAAAATGAATCTGATTTTGAAAATTCCTTGTTTATGCAAATAAAATAATATTTTTCTACTTTCCTAATTAAATTTTGTTAGAGTAGCCTTGGGTACAAAAAAAAAACAACAAACAAACAACCACAACCAGGTATTTAATGAAAGTAACCCATACTTAGTCATCTTTATTTGATACCAACAGATTATCTGATATCTGACATCTGACTATACCTAAAAATCCCCTATTGTCAATAGCAATTTCATTTAGACAACCAAAGCTAGGACCTGCAGAAGTAATTCTGGCATCTGTTCTGTACTGGCCTGGCTGTTAAATATATTAAATGCCATTTCCGTAGAAGGCCATTATCTGACAGAACAATGATTTCCACTAATACCATTTTAGGTGGGCATTATGAGATACAGAAGGAACAAGGAGGAGTAAGTTCCCTGCATACTTAGTAGGAAAGAGTATAAGACCTGGAGTTTTTTTAATCTACAAAATGGTATGGAAAAAATACCTCATGGATTAGGTTGTTGGTAAGGTCCAAAGTATGATGTACCTCTTCTAAAGAACAGCCTCTCCTAGCAACATGCCTAAAGTATGCAAGATGCAAAGTATTCATCATCTCTGCCTCCAAAGAGCACTTCTGGCTGCACCTTCTCCAAGACTTATTTATTTGTTCTTTTGGCTCTCCATAGGACATTTAATACTCCAAAAATGAGCTCAAATGTGTGAGAGATTGTAAGGTTGGCACAGGATAGGAAAGGATTCAGAGCTGTTCAATGGGTCATAAAGAGTTGTACTTGACTCAACAGCACCTAAACAACAACAACAAAAGTCTGTGGTATTAAGGATGCACTGTTCAAATAGCTACCCTGTCCTTTGACTGACTTTGCCATGTGTATGGTGGGAATATGCAAGTAGGATGTGTAAGCCTAGCCTCATCCAATCTACAGAGGATTGGCTAGACTAGTGATTACATTTAGTGGATCCAATTGCAGAATAGGAGAACGTCATCACCAGCAAAGAAGTAAGAGAGTAACATGTTCTTTGGAGCTAGAGATTATTATGCCAGTCAGACCAGGGCCTATGGGAGCAGCAGTCATAGCAACTGCAGCAGAGACAAGAGACCTGATGTGAGACAGAGCAGACCCTGCGACTGCTACCCTGTGTTATGAGGTATTATTAATATGGAATGAGCTCATAAACAGAAAAGGTTACACTTTACACACAAATATGATTTATCTTTTCTAAGTATACTTTGATCAACTATTAACTTAAGAAGACAGAGCCCAAAGAGAAGCAATAGAATGGGTAGTTCGCCAGGAAAGAGATAATGAATCTTAAAGCAATCCATATTTATACAGCTCTAAATAAATTTATGGTGTGAAAGAAAACAGAACTCTTACATTATTATGTCTCATTAAGGAACTAAATGATCACTGTGATCGAGTGATAATTCTTCCATGAATAAGTGATTATCTGGAGGAGAAGAGTTTATGATGAAAATTTCACCTTATGTATTAACATTGTATTTGTACCTTGATACACTGGGAAGGGAGGATCTTGGAGAAAAATTAAAATTTTCAAGGTCCACACTTTGAAGTTTATTCATCTGCATCTATTGGTTGAAAAAAATAAGTTCAAGTATCAATTTTGCATTAAAACATTTCAGCAAATCAGCCAAATAGCAAAATTCCTGTTTATACATAAAGTCAAAAAATTAATAAATTAAGAAAAACTTGGGCTACTTATCAACTAAAGTTTCCTTCTCAGGGCTTTCTTTTTTCTTTTTACACTTTTTTAGAAATTAATTTTAATTAAAGTTTACAGAGACATATGGTTTCCAGTCATTCACTGCTGTACTTTTCTCCCTACATACCCCCTTCCCCCTCAACTCACTCTTCTCTTTGAAAGAAAAAGAAAAACTCTTTCACTGTTATGCAATCCCTCCCCTCAAGTCCACAGCCTTCATTCTGGACTTCTGTAATGACAAGAATACCCATTCATATGTCCCTTTCAAACAGTTCTCTCCGTCATCTGTTTCAATGCAATATATATCATTCCTCCCCTCCTTCTCTGTCTTCCCTCAACCCTTATGTCAGTACCGTTTTACAACAGTGGCCCTTTGCAATATTACTTGATTTACAAAATTTGAAAACATTTATTCCTAGAACAGATTATTCCAATTTCCCTTACTGCCACACCTATCAAATTGCACAACTCCATGATTAATCCCCACTCCCCCTGCACATCCTGATTTGTCTGCTTCCACCCTCCCCCCAAACCATTATTGTAGAATGAGTATAAGATTTTTTTCTTTTTAAATAGTTTTAATGATGTATATAGCTGTTTAACAGAACATGTACCAATACAACACTTTTCACATGTGCCATTTTGGTGATATCTGTAATAAATATACCCTGTAGATATTCCAGATAACTGTAAAAGTGGTGATCTTATATCTCAAAAAAGTGATTATCACAATAAAGCAATTCACATGAATTACTCCGGTGTGTTGTTATGTGTCATCGAGTCATTTGCAACTCAAAGCGACCCTATGTACAAGAGCTCTAAACTCCGTTCTATTCCGTGCCAACCTCGCCATCTCAAACACACTCGAATATTCCCACCACTCCACTCACAAAATCGATCCATCTCATCGAAGGTCTTCCTCTCCTGCACCGCCCATCCACTCTGACAAATATGATGTCCCTCTCCAAGGACCAGTCCCTCCTTGCAACATGCCCAAAGTATGTGAGACGAAGCTTCAGAATCCTTGATTCCAAGGAGCATTCCAGCTTCACCTTCTCCAGGACAAACCTGTTTGTTCTCCTAGCAGTCCATGATATATTCAACACTCTTCTCCAGCACCACAGCTCAAAGGCATCAATTCTCTTTCTATCATCCCTATTCACTGTCCAACTCTCTGATGCATAGCACGTAATTGCAAAGACTATAGTTTTACCACTGCACATATAACTTTGCATTTACACTATACTGAAGTTCATTAATGTGCTAAAGGGCAACTATATCAGTTTCAAAACTAAGCTGTGCCCAAATTGAAGCCATGGTATTTTCAGTTATTTTCTCGGTATCAGAAAAGTAAACAATAAATAAAAACGATGAAAGAAGAGTCAATGCTTTTAAACTGTGTTGTTGGGGAAGAGCATTAAATATATAACGGACTGTTCTAAATAAATTAAAAAAAATCTTGATGGGAAGTGTAACCAGGGTATTTCTTACAGTCAGGATGCAGGGCGTTTCTTAAAGGCAAATATGGGGAAATTTTGTCTCATATACTTTGGGCATGTTATCAGGAGAGGTCAGTTCTTGGAAAAAGATATTTTGCTGGAAAAGGTAGAGGGTCAGTGAAAGACAGGAAGACCCCCAACAAGATAAATTGATACAGTGATTACAATAATGAGCTTTTAGCATGTCTGAAGATATGGAGGATGGCTCGGGATAGGACAAGGTTTTGATTTGTTGTTCATAGGGTTGCTAAGAGTTGTGGTCGACTCGATGGCACTTAATAACAACAACAACATTAAATACACAACAGCACTATGAAAATGTTTGTAATATTGTGAGAATTAGCAGAAAAATGACAGACAAGAAGTGAGAACAGCCTGAAAAATGGTACTAGTGAGACTTGCTCAAGGCAGAGTTGCCACAAACCTTTAATTTGTAAAAAAGCAGAAAATCACAATATTTATGAAGGACAATAAAACAAAACACAATAAAGGAGGCATATAGGTACATTAACATGCTGTACAAGTATCTACACTATTTCTTGTCAAATTATCCATCACAAAACTAGAAACTTGCTACTAAAATAATGACTCTCTTTCCCTTCTTTTTCCTGTCCCTGTTAAACACTAAAAGTTTTGGTCTGCAATGTTTGTCAAGATATTTTTTTTTAATAATTTTAATGAACATTTACAGAGAATTTGGATTTCCATTCATTCATTGCTGTACTTCTCTACCCACCCAGCCCTCTCCCCCCGCCCCCCAGTTCGCTCCTCTCTTTCAAAAGTAAAAGAAAGACTCCCTCCCTGGTGCACAATCCCCCGCACCCCTCCCACCGCCCCAAGTACATTATGGTTATCACAAGAGTCCACAATTAAGGTTGCATAGTGGAATGTACTTGTCAAGATCTTTTTAAATGTTGACATTCCACACTGTACTAGGTTTTCTCTTTCTGTACACATTCTCAAGCAAAGATCTTATTTACTCCTATCACTTCAGTTATTATCTACATTACTGTCCTGTCTCTATATAAAGCAGCAGATTTTCCCAATGCCATTAATCTTTTGATTTCCTGACTGCTGGTGTTAAAGACTGTTGATTGTGGAGCCAAGCAAAAGCTGAAATTGTTAACAATCTCAATCCCTTCTCCATCGAACACGGTGCTGTCAATTGGCCAGTGGTGAAAGTCTTTGTCTTCTTGATGTTGAGCTTCAATCCATATTGGATCAATCCTTGATGTCCTACATAAAATACTTCAGGTCCTCCTCATTTTTGGCAAGCAAGTTTTTATCATCTGCATAACGTAGGTTATTGAAGGTTCTTTCTCCAATCCTGATGCCATAGTTCTCATAAAGCCCAGCCTCCCAAATGATCTGTTCCACATATAGATTGAAAAAGTATGGAGATAGGACACATCCCTGATCTACTCCTTTCCTGATTTTGAACCATGCAGTATTTTCTTGCTCTGTTCAGATGACTGCTTCCTGATCCAAGTATAGGTTTCACATGAAAAAAATCAAGTGTTCTAGAATTCCCATTCTTCTCAATGTTACCTAAAATTTGTTATGATCCACATAGTCAAAACAGGCAATGAAACACAGACAGACACTGGTACTCTCTGCTTTCAGTCAATAACAATCTGACATTGACTCTGATGTCCCTAGTCCCATGGCCCCTTCATCATTTGCAGGAATTAATATAATTGCCAGACTTTTCAGGCCCACACTAATAAAATCAGTAAAATGTAAGAACATTTTGTTCATATAGCTGAATCAACTGTCTTTTTTTTTTGTTTTTTGTTTGTTTGTTTGTTTATTTGTTTTAAAGCTAATGAGAGAAGGTCCTGGATAACTACGTTCCAAAATAGACAAACTGGTTAGTTAGTAAGAAATAAAAATGCTTTTTTCTTTAGAAATAGTATCATGAATAATGGTCATCTTCCCACCCAAACCTAAAAGGAATACTAAAGTACACAAAAAATACATATTTGATACACAGACTAATGAATATTTATTTTATATATCAATGAGACAAATACTATTAAAACTTACCTTGAGACGTTTAACTGGAGGAAGTGATGAAACAGCATTTCTGTTTCTTAAATCAGATATATACGAAGAAATTTTTGACTCTTTAATTTCTGACTTCTGTGCAACTCCAATTTTACCTTTATAAAAACATTTAGATCTTTTACTTTAAAACCTTAAACACTTCATACAGAGCCAAATTTCTTAAATCTAATACATAATTTTTTTCTTCATTGCCCAAAAAGAAGAAATAGTACTAGATGGTTATAAAAATGCACTTATAAACATCGTATATCAATAATCAAGAGGTTTTAACTATTCATCAAATATTTTTATGCTTTCAAAGTCTGAAATAAACTTGTTTTATGGAACTCACAGCAGTCATGTCCACAGGTCTTTTTATTTTTACAGTGATGATTACAATCTCGGTTCCCCAGTTTTTTACAGGTAGTCATTCCTAAATATAATGAAATCAAACGTATTTGTTACTTGTTATAATTTATTTTATCTAATTTCTTTCCT